AGATCAACTCGCAGCAACAGGTGGCAAGACAACAAAAACACCAGGTAATACGTATGATTGTCGTAAATGTGGGAGAAATCATCAAATAGCACAATGCTTTGCGTATGGACAAACGTGTCACAATTGTAATGGACTGAATCATTTTGCAATTGGGTGTAAATTTAAAAATTGGAATAAGAATAAGTTTATGCATGGAAAGAATGTTAGTAGTAAGAAAAACAAAATCAATAATTTAGAAGTAGCGGGTGTAGAGGACGATGATGATGATGACGATTGTTATATTGATTTAATTAGTTTAGATAAAATAGGGTGTGAAAGTAGCATTAAGCTATGGAAGGAAAATGTAACAATTAACGGTATTAAAATTTCTTTCAAATTAGACACGGGCGCACAGTGCAATGTGTTGCCTTTAAAATGGTTAGAGAAAGTACAAAAACAAAAAGAGTTAAAAGAAATAAATCAGACAATAATAACATATGGTAATAATAGAATAAAAGTAAAAGGATATGTAATTTTGAATTGCAAGTTAAGGAATACAGAGTATAAATTAAAATTTATTGTGGTAGATGTAGAAAGTGATCCAATTTTGGGATTAAATGCATGTGTAAAACTAAATTTAGTTGCAAGGCTTGATTCTGTCAGTCAGTTAAAAGAAAATGGGAGTAATGGAAGGGACCCAAAAGAAAAGTTAAAATTTGCATTTATAAATGAAAATAAAAATTTGTTTGAAGGTTTAGGTAAAATACCCATGGAACATAGAATTAAATTAAAAAATAATTATGTGCCATTTGTAAGCGTTTGTAGAAGGGTGCCAGACTCGCTAAAAGAAAAATTAAAAACGACTTTAGAGGAGCTGGTACAAAAAGGTATCATAGAAAAAGTAGAAGGTCCGTCTGAGTGGGTGAATAATATTGTAATCATAGAAAAACCAAATGGAAAGTTGCGGATTTGTTTGGATCCACAACAGTTAAATAAAAATATTTGTTTAGAACAATATCCTATACCCACTATTGACGAAATTGGAGTAAAATTAAAAAACAAAAGGGTTTTCAGTGTAGTAGACATGAAAGATGGATTCTATCAAATACCAATTGATAAGGAAAGCAGTAATTTATGCACGTTCATTAGCCCATTTGGTAAATTTAAATTTTTGAGGTTACCATTTGGATTATCAATAAGCCCTGAGGTATTTCAAAAAATTAATGAAAAAATTTTTCAAAATCTTGGAATAGGAATTTATTTTGATGACTGCATAATTGCTGGTAGGGATGAAAAAGAACATGATGAGTTAATGAACAAGTTTATAGAACGGGCAAAACAGTACAACATTAAATTTAATCCTGATAAATTACAATATAAGGTCAGTAAAGTCAAGTATTTAGGGCAGGAGTTTTCTCATGAAGGTGTAAAACCAGACCCTGATTATATTGAAGCGATCACATGTTTAAGTGAGCCGTCAAATAAGAAGGATTTATTAAAGATATTAGGTATGGTAAATTATTTGAGTAAATTTGTACCCAAACTATCAGAACTTTGTGGTCCTCTAAGAAAATTAATAAAAAATGATGTTGAGTTCATATGGGGTAATGAACAGAGAGAAACATTTAACAAATTAAAATTGAGCATTATTAATATTCCAACACTTAAAATATTTGATTCAAAGGAACCCATAGTAGTACAAACAGATGCAAGTCAGTATGGCATGGGTGGTGCTTTGTTGCAGGGAGGTAAACCAGTAGCATTCTGTTCTAGAAGTCTAACCGAAACTGAGACAAGATATGCTCAAATAGAAAAAGAGTATTTGGCCATTTGTTATAGTTTAAATAAATTTCATCAATTTATTTATGGAAAGCGAATAACAGTAAATTCAGATCACAAACCTTTAGTTGCAATACAGGAAAAAGATATAAATAAAATAACATCTAGATTGCAAAGAATGAGACTAAAAACACTAAAATATAATTTCAAAATAGAATACTTACCAGGAAAACAAATGTTTATTGCAGATCTATTGTCTAGATTTTATATAAATAAGAATACGATGGATGATCCTGAAATGTTAGAAGTAGTTCATTGTGTTGAAATGGAATTACCAATCTCAAGAGATAGGTTAGAGGAGATTATAAACAAAACAGAAACTGATCATACATTAAAAATAGTCAAGCAATTTTGTGAAAGTGGGTGGCCAAACCACAAAAGTCAATTTAACAATGCAGAGTTGAAACATTATTTTAAAATTAAAAATGAGTTAGTAACCAAAAATGGTATTATTTTCTATAATAATAAACTAGTTGTTCCAGAATCCTTAAGAAAATATATGTTACAACAACTGCACAAGGTTCATTTTGGGATAGAAAAAACAAAAAGGCGGGGTAGGAAACTTTTCTATTGGCCTAGACTTTCGTCAGACATAGAAAATTTTGTAACTAACTGTGGAGTTTGTAAAAAGTTTAGTAGGGCAAACGTTAAAGAGCCACTAATCCCTCATGAAGCTCCAGAATTACCTTTTGAAAAAGTAGGCTCAGATATATTAGAATTTAATCGAAATTCATATTTAGTGGTAGTTGACTATTATAGCAAGTGGATCGAACTGAAAAAATTAAATAACAAAACTGTTAAGGAAGTCATTACCAAACTGAAAGAAATTTTCTCTACCTTTGGAGTTCCATCCAAATTTGTATCAGATAATAATCCATATAATAGTTTAGAGTTTAAAAAATTTGCAAAAGAAATCAATATGGAACTAAGTTTTGCTAGTCCGAGGTATCCAAAATCTAATGGACTTGCAGAAAAAGCTGTAGGAATATGCAAAAACATGTTAAAAAAATGTGAAGAAACAAACTCTGAAATTTTTGGTCATCTGCTGGAGTATAGGGCAACCCCACTGTCTGGTTTAGATGAGTCGCCAGCAGAATTATTGAATAGCAGAATGTTACGTACAACATTACCAATTACTAAAACTCAATTAAAACCTAAAGTAGTTAACATAAATACAGAGGCAGTAAAGCAAAGACAAAAGAAAGCAAAGTTGTACTATGATCGGAATGCAAAAGCTCGTCCCGAGTTTAAAAACAATGAGCATGTCTATATAAAGAATGATCAAAATTCAAATTGGAGAACTGGAAAAATTATTAGTAAAGGTAGCACTCCCAGGTCATATGTAGTGTGCGATGAAAAAGGGTCAGTACTAAAACGAAATTCATGGTTTTTGAAAAAAGCGGGCACAGCTTCAATAACAAATCGAAGGTCAACTATTGATAGTAACATTGACATAGATGAGACAAACAGTACAGAGCAGGGTAGTGATAAGGTAGAAAATAGCGTAGATGATAAGGTAGAAAATAGTGTAGCTGTAGATGGTAAGGTGGAAAATCAAAGTGAAGGTGACAATAGTGATGGTGGAAGTGATAAATGCAAAAATCGTGAGGTAAACTCGGAACCAAGTACAAAACGATTAAAAAGAGAAATCAAAATGCCTATTAGATATAAGGATTATGTATAGGTTAAGTAAATTAGCATTAGTTTAAATTTGTAATCGAAGTTATCTTGTTGAAAGGGAGATGTAACATAATGTACAAGTTAGGTACATGCGCCACTACCGGACGTCAACCTACAGACGACATCGGTTCAATCAATAATAAAGATGTTTAATAGAATTACCTTTATTATAATTTCAGCAGCCTAAGCTCCGAATATAACAATTTTTGTTAAAGGCAGCCAACCTGGCAGCAGTACTTCGGGTTTACATAGTGAAAAATTAAATTTTGTCATGAAGGCTTGAACAAAATCTTTTCCTGCTCTTTTCTTATCTTTATTGAATCTATGTGGAATGTTAAGTGATTCCGCATAATCGAAAGCAATTCGGGCAAACTGTTCCCTAGTAACTCAAAAAGCTCTTCTATCTACATCCTCAACGTATTTTTTAAGATTCAGGAATTGATCTTCAGAAAATGTGGTTTTAAATCGTCCAGCACTTGTAGGGAAATTCTAAAAAAACAACATTTTTACTTAGTTGAGAGAATTATAATTAATTATAAGACCTACGTTATTGGGATAGTTTTGGCATAACGTCTTAAAGTCGCTTCCGGTATGTTAAACCTCTTTGCCGTGGCATTTACTGAATCTCCCTGCTTTACTTTGTTTAAAGCTTCAATCATACATTCGCGAGACCATCCCTGTCTATTTGTTTTCCTGTGATAGGTTTTGCCCATTATCGGTATTTTTGCAACACTATTTAAAAAAAAACAAAGGTAATAGGTATACATTTTACGAAAAAACAAACAAATTCAATTTTTTGGCAATGAGGATAAGATGACGAACATTTCGGGTAAAATGACGAATTCGTCATCTTAGCCGTATTGTTTATTCCGTCATCTTATCCGATGGGTTTTTTTCAGTTATGTCAAAATATATTTGCAATGAACATTAAAAGCGAATTGCGTCATCACTCAACGATATCAGAACACCAAATTCTGCCATTAAAAAAATCCTACAGATATAAGAACTTACCGTTTTCAATTTATACACTATTTAAGTGAATGAAAATATTACAACAACTGCACGAGTTTTTTAAGTAACTGGCATGGCTGACTTGTGAAGCACCCATAATATGGAAGCACCAAACATGCGCGAGTACCACGGGGGTGGGAGGTATCCTAATAGCGCGTAATTCAACTGTAGAAATCGGCGATATCTGGTGGTTGAGCCTTTCAACAAACGATTCGTCATCTTACCCGACTAGCCATCTTACCCTCCCTTCCCCTGCAACAATTTTATCGTTCGACGGAATTGTCTCACATTTGTGTCCCATGTAATACTTAAAGGCCCAGTGAAGCATAAATTGTGACTACATTGAAACTAAAGATAATATTCTTAGAAACGCAACAACAAAAATCCCGTGTCAGTGTCATGTCCCGTTTCCTAGTTACAGGGGTTTAAATATTTACTACGAATGCGGTGACGTCACCGCACCCACACTTACCGGTTATTATACATTTGCAGTTGCGTATTATCTGCCTAACGAGATATTACGTTGTACCACAGATTATCTGTGTTTATACTAAAATGACACGGTGTTGTGCTTATAAATGTAGAAATTCTACTAATCAAACTGTAAGAATAAGTGTTCATAAATTTCCTAGTCGTGAGAAATCGCCCTTACGTTTTAAATCATGGGCAGAGGCATTGGATTATATACTACGAACTATATAATCAATGGCAGAGGATAAATCGGGTTAAATTTGAACCGACTAAAAGCGCTGTAGTTTGTTCCGTACATTTTGCCAGTGGAGATTTCGAACCAGGCCCTGTTTTACAATAGTATATTGAAAGACAAGTGTTACAATGCGACCTATTGTAAAGCTGCATTTATAATCACTTTGTAGGCGAAGTGCAACTTTGGCACGCGTGTTAGACATACGGAGTGTAGGTATACCATTCACAACATCATCGCGAGTCGCGACTCAGCACGGCGTGCTGCTTGTTTATGGACGCTTGCAAGCTGCAAGGTTGTTTGTCTCGTGCTGGCACACGATCATGCGCAATAGTAAACATTTTAAATTTCTAACCTCAGAGCAATTTTTTTTTATTGATAAAGCATAAATTTTATCTATAATGTCTGATGTAGAAGTAAAAGCCCTTTTGTTGGGAAGTATTGCTACCTTATTATCTATTAAATTAAAACTAAAAAGCACGAAGAAAACGCGAAAGCGAAAAAGGTTTGGAATTCATCCAATGCTACTGCAAAGAAAAAGTCAGGGGTTTTATGACAATTTAATAAATGAAATTCGAATCCATGATCCGTATATGTTTTTTAATTTCACTAGGATGTCTTCAAGCTCTTTTGATAAATTATTGTCACTTGTGGGCCCAGATATTGCAAAAAAATCTCTAAGAGAATCGATATCTCCAGGGTGCAGGTAATTATATATCTATGTGTTTTAATTAAAAATATTAATGAATCGTTTTTATTAATAGGCTTGCAATTACATTACGATTTTTGGCAACTGGAGATTCTTATCCAAGCTTGTCATATTCCTTTCGGGTTGCTGTACCAACAATTTGTAATATTATTAGAGAAACGTGCTTGGTGTTGTGGAATGTTTTGTTTCCAATAGTGTTAAAAACCCCAAATGAAGAGATGTTAAAAAAATTTGAAAAAGAATTTTGTACTAAGTGGTCATTACCAAACTGCGTAGGGGCTATAGATGGCAAACATGTGACAATTCAAGCACCTTATAAGTCAGGCTCTACATTTTTTAATTATAAAAAAAATTTTAGCATTGTTTTATTGGGCGTGTGCAATGCAGACTACATGTTTACTTATGTGGACATAGGAGCATACGGTTCACAAAGTGATGGAGGTGTTTTAAATCAATCACAATTTGGACAAAAACTTTCTACAAATAGTCTTAATTTACCATCTCCAAAGTTGTTACCCGTTTCAAGCAATGGTCTACAAATTCCACACTTCTTTGTTGGAGATGAAGCGTTCCCACTTAGAAGCAATTTGATGCGTCCATACAGCAAAGGCCGAAATGGTACAATGCCTGAAGACGAAAAAATATTCAATGATCGTCTCTCTAGAGCCAGAAGAATAATTGAAAATGTTTTCGGAATTTTAGTGGCAAGGTTCAGAATATTCCACCGTACCATAAATGCTTTTCCTGAAACAGTTGATAATATTGTGAAAGCCTGTGTATGTTTACACAATTATATAAGAATGGAAAATAATGAATGTTATTTTCAAAATGAAGACATCGATAGAGAAGTAGATGGAAAGTTAATTTCTGGGAGATGGAGGACTGAGACTCCAGTTGATGGGGCTCTGACAAACCTTCGACTGCGGTTAGGTGCTAGAAATTCTGGTGAAACTGCCTTAGCTATGAGAACATATTTAAAAGAATACTTCAATGGTTCAGGAGCATCTTTAGCACCATGGCAGTGGAATGTAATAAATAAAACTAATTGAAACGTTTAATACTGTAATGTTCTAATATCATTTTGAAGATTGTATTGCTTAATGAAATAAAATAATGAAAATCTTGAACCATACAATGTAATAGTATCGTCGAAAACCTTGAATTAGTAAATTCGCTAACAAATCATTTCCAATATTAAAACTAAACATCCACCCTGTATGCATAATAAACTTGAACTAAATCGTTAATGACATTGTTATAAATACATCGCAAACTACTTAACTAACTGAAGGATTGATCTCTAATGCGTTTTTTGAATGAAACTAATTGAAGTGTTAATGCATCCATTACTTCATCTGCGTGACTTGTAGTCATGTCTTTTAGCTCGGCAGCTACATATTGGCCAAATTTCTCATATTTTGTACCATTGTTGTCTGTATTATTTAACGAAAGTAATGCACTGGACACATCCTTAAGCACAGAATCAATTTCAACGACATCAGACCGGTCACACTTTCTTTTTGTACTTTGCTTCCCTTTTCGTTGTGGAGTATTCTCCATTTCGCTTTGCCATGTGTTGTTACTGACAGGTGAAAAACAACCTTCGTAGTCATGGTCAATGAATGTAATTATTTCAGTTTCCACTTCAGAGTTGATACTACTACTTTCACCTGAACTTGAGGGCAGATTTGTAGTTGTTTGCCTACTTTGTCCATCACTTTTATATAAAAACTTAAAAAAGCTCATAAGTGGCCAAGTAGGTCTTGTATTGGCAGGTGCGCCGCTACGGTTCAACTTTTCTTCTGTACTTATTTCCCTACGGTATTTTTCTCGAAGGGCTTTAAAGCGAGCTTTAACTGTTGCAACTAAAATAATTTTGTTAATTAGTGAAAAAACCTCAATACCTAATTCTGCAATTTACCATCTCTGTTCAGTGAATCGGCCACTGATCTCCAACAGTTCTCTTTTTGAAGAACTGATTTGTACCCTTCGTAGCTCTTGTCATATAACGGCCGATAGTTCGCCACACACTGTAGTAATAATTCATCGTTTATTTCTCCTGCCATTCTTCAATTAAATTATGAAACAATTAAAAACTTAAAAATAAATAAAGATAAACCACTTACTTGTAGGTTAGATGATTAACCGGTAACGGTAACACGCATGCGTAAATTCGTGCCAACTTTAGTAATTGTAAATGCTCGTCACATGTACAGCACGCGTGCCAAAGTTGCACTTCGCCTACAAAGTGATTATAAATGCAGCTTAATACGACTATCTTGCGGCACGAGTGGCCGAGTGTCCGCAAGATAGGAGTATTACAATAAAGCATTGTAACACGCGTTTTTCATACTATTTTTTCTATTTCGGTGCTGTAATTTAATTAAGGAAATCATTATCAGAAACTATAGGGAACATTAGAACTAACATGTTTTATGTTGGGAACACTTTTTAATGCCGTTAAGTTTTAGGTTGGCAGCGTAGTAAGACTGACATTTTGAAGTTCAAACATGGAAATACCTTAGACCATATAGTACATGGACTGCTAATTGTAACTAAAATATGGTCAAGGACATCGCCTGGGTATGTGAGTTTCAGGGTAAACGAGTCTGTCCGAAGTTGTCCGATGAGACGCGATTTGGGACTGTCAACCTATAAATTAACAAACGTCAATTAATTAATCGCCTAGATATCCCAAAAAAAGCAAACTTATTCTTATTTGTGGACGTATAGCAAATAATGAAGAGCATTTAAAGGTTCCCGTACTACGCGGTTACTATAAAGCTGCTCTTTAAGCGATCCTATTGGTGTTTACACGACTTTAGTTTACCCTGAGATTCACATACCCACGACTACAGTGCCCTCTATCCGTGACCATCCATTTTGTATTGAAAGCATAGGGCGAATAGCAGTCCATGTACTATATGGTCTAAGGGAAATACCCATATATACCATATATATAAGAGCCTGGTTTTGATGGCCCATTCCTTCGTGCTAGCGGTGAGTGTCGGGTCCGTTGAAGTAATGCACGAACAATGAAGTTACGTGACGGCCTGTTTGTGTCAATTGCCATCTACAATCGGGCTATCTTATTGGAGGCGGTAGGAAAGCAAATTTGTATATTTATGCCAGTAGGAGCGTTCCAGTTTTATCATCGTAGTAGCCGTCCGGTTTATGAGCGATTCGTAGATATTTGAAATGTCTTGGGTTACGATTTGTGAACATAGGGCTTATACTGTCATTTTCGGAATTTATACTGCTGCAGGGAAACATGGCTCTTGGTATACAACCTCAAAAGTGCGAGTTTAAATGTACATTACGATTTACGAATATGTTTATATTCATTATAACGGCCTGTGATGAAAACAATAATCTAACCTACATTTTAATTAATAGGTGCCTTTACACTTACGCTCTTTCGTGCGGTATAAACGCGTGGCGTTCCAATCGCGCGCGAACGACACGCGCCAAGAACGTGGCGTTCCAAAAGTGTGTTGTTAGAAACAAGAAATTTGTAACGTTCCAATCGTGGAGTATTGTCTACGCGCCCGGAACGTAAGAGGAAAAGAGTGTCAGTGTAAAGCCGTTTTCGCCTGCTTTCGCACGTTCTTTGCTTGGCTCGTGGCATTTTAGAATTTCTAAAAGTTTTATTGTGTTTATTTTTTGTATCAATGGTAAATACTTAAGAGTATAAGTTTTGCTTCTTAGTATGATAGTTAGTAAGAATAACAGATGTAATGGTGGCGTGCGGTTTTTGTTTGTACTGTTATAAAATTAAAAATTACAAATGTTTATCTGAATACGTATTCTGTTCACTGTTTATTCCTCATTTTAAATAAATAAAACAACCACTCAACAGGTTATGGGCCCAGCACGCTTCCACTGCGTTCTTCCTCTATCAACAACCTAGATGTTAGTTCTGCCAACGTTTGTGACTCGGGTGGCACCGACTCCCATGCAGACCGAAAATGTTTGTATTGCTCGGGCAACGACATTAAGATTTTTGTTATTATCATTTTATCACTGAGAGTTTCTCCAGCTGTTTTAAGTTTTGTTTTAATTTCTTCAATTTTAGAAATAAACGTGCTAACTGACGTATCAAACCCTAACATAAAGAATCTTTGTTGAAGTAAATGAACACTCACCCCAGATTCCCTGTCGTATACTGCCTTCAACTTACTCCACATTTCTTTCGATGTTTCGCATGACATAAGATGAGTAAGTGGCCCCTGCTCCATACGAGTTACGATGATTTCTTGAGCCTTGGCATCGTCCTTCACCCACTTGGTCAGCTCATCTCCGGCTTCTACAGGTTTTATTTTCGTACCGCTTACTATCTCGAAAAGGCCTCGACCCTTCAATATTATCATTGAATAAAAACACTATAAGAAGCCTAACCCCGTGGAAATAAAGCGCGACAGAGTTTGAACTGAGAATATAATGGGAACACTGTCAATAGAGTCGATTCTTGAACTGAGAAGAATGAGAATTTGCTTTCCTTCTATTTACCGCAATGAGAGTTCGGCGGTCACAACCAATGCGGGTGCAAGGGGATTTGTGAGATTTGTCGCGCTTTCTTCCATAAGCGTTAGGCTTCTTATAGTGTTTTTATTCAATGATATTATGGATATCTGAAATTTCCACACCGGCCAATTTTCACCTGTTAACTTTAGGACGTTATTTACACTACTCGCGTTTTCACTCATTTTTTAATAATACGGTTTTTATGCCTTTTATATTATTACACACGTGGTGCTAACCTCAAAACAAAAATTCACAATTTTTATGCACAAACGAGAACTTCCGCGTGCTCTGGGCCCATAACCTATTGAGTGGTTGTTTTATTTGAGTGGTTGTTTTATTTATTTAGGGCCTATGGAAACTGTTTCCCTCGGAGGTGCTCGATATTTTTTACTCTTTAAAGACGACTACTCTGCATTTAGAAAAATTTACTTCCTAAAACATAAGTCTGAAGTTCAAACGTACATTAAACAATTTATTTCGATGGCAGAGAGACAAACTGGGTATGGACTAAAAGTTTTGCGAACCGATAACGGTCTAGAATTTATCAACAAGGAAGTCACGGAATATTTGAAGAATAGGGGTATACAACATCAACGTACAGTGGTATATACACCAGAACAAAATGGACGAGCCGAGCGCGAAAATCGTACCCTGGTCGAAGCAGCGAAAGCCATGTTATATGGGAAACTGGACAAGAGTTTTTGGGCTGAAGCCATTAATACGGCGTCATACATAATAAATCGAACTAGTCCCAGTCCTAAGAAACCATATACTCCTTACGAACTTTGGCATAAGAAAGAATGCAACGTAGAAGAGTTCAAGATTTTTGGAAGCAAAGTTTCGGTACACGTACCAAAAGAAAAGCGCGTAAAATGGGATTTCAAAAATAAAATGGGAATATTCCTTGGGTATGGAGAGGAAGTAAAGGGATTAAGAATTTATTTTCCTGACACAAACAAAGTTGAAACTAAGAGGGATGTGATCTTCTTGCCCGAAAAATCTCAAGAGGTGAGGAATACAAGCGAGATGTTAAACTTAGAAAATGAAACGTTAAATGAGGACCAGG